ATATCAGCACTTGGACCCTTTGGGTTGATGCAGATCCGGATTAAGATACGTGGCAGGTGAAAAGTTCATGATGTGTTGCTAGGGGTTAGGTCTTTCCTTCGGCGTGGGTGCTCAGAAGTCAGTCCATCCTTAAGCCCTAAGTTGGGAGATGCTTGAACACATCCCAAGGATTCCCACCTTGCGACACGTCTGAGTTTACTATGTCCGTAACCCGACAGTTTTCAACCCTCAAGCCCAATCGAAATCAGGGAGCACGGTTCTAGTCCTAGTCTCTCCAGCTCGGGGGGCAAGGACTGAAACCTCACCAGAATTTGAAGGCTAGCATCTCGGAAGACACCTTGTCTTGCGAATGACCTTCTGCCTTCTCGGCCAGTCAAACGGTACAGTCCGGGTTCCCAGTCAGTTGAAGGGTGCATACAATTCCACACCAGTTCGACAAGCTAAGCTGCACTTGGTTCTTCGGAGTTGAGAGGGTGCAGCACCCGTCAATGGCTGCAGAACAAAGCACAGGAAGTTTTGCCGGCGTGAAGTCCTCGAAGAGAATGTCATTGACGCAGAGATGTTGAAGAGAATCGACTTCTTCCGTGGCTTGGCTGAAACCTATTTGTGGTACAAAACACCTAGTAATTTGGTATGAGGGTTTGAGACAATACTACATAGCTCAGGTTGCATGTACGGTCCAAGGCATAACACTTAGACTTTGAGTCTGGGAAGTTCCCGGCTAGGAAAGCATTTTGGTGATTCGTTAGGTGCCGCAAAGCCGCTAAACCCCAGGGAAAAGAAGAAAGGTCTTGTCGGCAGGTGGACATTTCTCAGTTTAGGGCTTGGGATGTACAGCTTAGGGACGGAAGGGTGTTAAGATGGAGGCCTCCTTCGAATGTTGTGGTTGGCTGGGCCATGCCAAAGGAATGTGTCTGTGTGTGTGTGTGTGTGTCTGTGTGTGTGTGTCTGTGAGTCTCTGTGTGTGTGTGTGTGTATGTCAGAGTGTGTGTGTGATTATGTATTCCAACAGATATGTACGCATGACACATGAGCTCTTTTCTGTTCAGGTTGATAGCATTTAGTCAGCTATGTAAATGTCAGGAAAACACAAACACACATGTTCCAACCATTCATTGGGAGCCATGCGTCACCTTAAACCCCCTGGGGCCCTGAGAAAAGCCTTAACAAAACTAGGTAATTTCGGGCCGGCATTCTTGGATGAGCTGCTGAGCAGTCCGGCACCACGGCTCAGGGGCGTCTACAAGCTTTAGCTTGTTGTTTGTAGTGGTTCCTGCAATTCAGGGATTCGATTGACTTTGGACGCAGTCTGAGCCAGAACAGACCAGGGATGATCAGGCTATGCGTAAGGGATCGTGGTACGCCGGCATAGCGTCGAATTGGGTTTGGAGACCTGTGCTCCATGCGAGGAGTGTGCTGTGTGCCCTAAACCACAAAGCTGCTGTGTGACTTCGGGTTACTTAGCGGCGTAGGGTGGTTTAGACTCCACAAAGTTCTGACTGCGGTACCGTCCTGCGGACGGACCGCCAAAGAGGGACGATGAAGCAGGATGAACCCGGTGCTGACATTCTAATGCAAGGCTAAGGACTAGTGATGTTTGGGAGTGGTCTACTCAGCTGCGCCGACGTCGACGACAACAACGACAACAACAACAACAAAACAACAGCGACAACGGACCAAAACGAGAAAAACGAGTCGGCCTGATTCATTCTTGAGAACAAGGACAAGGCTCATAAGAACAGGATTCTGCAAGAGTGCAAGAGGAGAATAGCTGATGCGGAGGGAGGGCCGACGCGCGAGTACCTAGGCCTGCAAATGCCAGGCCTTCTGAGCTGAAGTTGGACGGAAACGGACGAGCCGAGGATACGACAGCGCACGAACCGATGAAATCGGATAGTGGAGAGTCGGGCATGCAAGCTGCGGCTTGCGGCCCGCACATGTTCAAGCTTAGGAGACCAAAGTACACACGTTGAACGCTTCTGTAGGTAGGATCCTTCGAAAAGACTGTCATCACAATGAAGATTGACGTGGTCTGTGGTCTCAGGGATGCAGACCGGGAAAGTATTTCAGAGAACTACACGTACCCGGTGGACTTTCGGTATGAGGATAATTCTGAAGCCTATTAACACAAGATCCGTTGAGAAACCCTGGCAAACCCAAAAACAGAATCTTTTGAACCCCGGATTGGGCAATTGCACCCTCCCACAAGCTCCCCTAAGACCCTAAACCCTAAACCCTAAACCCTAAACCCTCTAAACTTTTAAGCCTTGCCCCCTGAGGAAAGCATTCGAAAGGTGTTGGTTATGCCCGGCACGGTCCTGCTGCGTGAGGGGGCTCCTGGTGACAGCATGATGGTGGTCTCCAAGGGCTTTCCGGCCTGCATTATTGTAGTGTGATTATGCTTCTGTTACAGCTTTTTGCAACATTAGCATACGATGATTACATATTATTGGTCGTATGAAATTGTTGGTAGTATCATTACCTGCATGACTATCCGAGTGCGGCAACATGTCTTGTCTTTGAGTACTTGCCCCTCGGTTGGGCTGAGAAAGCAGGGAGCTGAGGGCAAACGCCGAAACCTAAACGATCCCGGGCAGCAGAGAGTCCTAGGACAGCCGGTGAGGCTCTCTTCTGACAGAATGCAACTATGGTGATGCTTCTTTCAGGGTAGCTTGGGACTCCCAGGCCTGTTTCTTGTAGAGATACGGCGTGGACCTGCTGCATATAGCCGCAAAGAGAGACACAAAATGCGGATCCCTTGTTCTCCCTAAACTCACAAACCCTACAAACCCTAAACTTCTCTCACCCCCCCTCTCCCTAAAGCCCCCACTTTATGGTTTAACTCATACTGTAGGGTGTATGAAGTCCCAAACCCTTCATCACTTGACTTGGGAGTGTCTAATGTTACACCATGAGACCATAAGGCCGTGTTGCTGCCTCGGTGAATGGTCGGGTGGTCAAGCACCTGGGAGAAGGCTCTTATTTTGGCTCCTTGGCATTCATGCAGGGTTTAGCGTTTAGGGTTTCAGAAACAAGGGAGTGGTGTGAAACATGCTCCCCCTACCTTTCCCAGCAGAGGCGTCGCAGGCTGGATGCAAAAGGATTTCAGGACTTCGGATCTTTAGGCAAAATGAGGATCCATGAGGGGTTCTTCTAGGTCTTAGAAGAAGTATCTCAAGCGCTGGAGGTTCAATTGCTCATAGATCACAGCTGTTGGGGTTTACAAACCCCATATGTTTGCCCTTGGCTTGATCATGATAACCTCCCCCCCTGCGACTTACGGGTCATGTGTTTAATGACCAGGAGTATAATTAGGATGGACAGCTACATTTACAAAGGCTTACTGCCACACATATACCTAGCCAGGAAACTTTGTGACACCCTATAGAGAACCTAAACCCTTATAAAGCCTTATAAAGCCCTTGTATGACTTTAGAAACCCTCATAGAGACCCTTCGACCAGTCAGTGTCCATGTGCAGGAGAACTCGTGTTCTTGGGTGCCTCTCTCATGCGAACAGCGACAGTGACCGCCACGACCTTCTGCGATGTGCGGATCATCTACAATCGAAGTTTCAAGAGGACTCCGAGTCATCGGTGCTACGTGGTTTAGGGTTTACAGGGTATACGACCATCTTATGAAAAGCAACGATCATCACGATGCACTGGGCAGTCGTTTCATGGCCTGCTGCTGCGGCAATGTTGATACAGCCAGCGCCAGGATCGCGGACAAGTATCCAGAGGCACCGACTCTCCAGGGATCTGGCTTTGGTGGGTTTTTGTTGGGTTGATCCCAAGGGGCTCCAGTTACCTAAATAGTAGGTTACTAACCGACCCAATATTATGTACCCCAGTAACCGACTGTTTAAGTAACTGGAGCCCTCGGGGATGACAGAATCGACTTGAAGAGGGACTTTCAGGTCTCTCCTCACATCCTGCCAAGTTATCTTGGCAGTACACTCCCCAAGCTCCACCAACTTAGTCTCCAGACTTTGCATGCCTTGAGGCCCTGAAAGAAAGCTGAGACTCCCAGGGCAATGTAAGACCCACTTGCGCTTTGAGCGCTGGTTTCTGGAACATGAATGCAGCCTTCGACCCTGAAACCTTTGATTGGGGTAAAATTTGGCGCTGCACTCATTTTCTGTCCGGAACGTCAGGTTCAGCACGAAGCTTGTAGTCTCGCAGCCCGCAAACTATCACTCCCCGAATTGTGCGTTGAAGACACCGTCCTTGCGATGTTAAATGAGAGGGTATGGAAACTCCTAAACACACAACAAAAGATTTTGGGAGCTCGTCTCGCACCATTGCCAGGTGCAAGCTGCGCTCAACAAGTTTGATCTCGCGAACAGCGACCCGAGATTAAATGCTAAGGCAGACCCCAGCTCATTGCATGGGTCAACTCGGCCATTCATGTTCCTGCAGTAGTGGTTCTTTGTCGTTGCTAACTTCAACTCGGCTACTGGACGTCGCCGGTCACCACCAATGAAAATACCATAACCAGTAGCAAGTTCATGAAGTTGGTCTATTGACGAGCCGTTGACAACGCCATTCATGACATATTCACTTTCAGCTGTTTTTGGAGTAGTCGCAGCAGCAGCAGCAGCAGCAGCAGTCGCCGCCGTCGTCGTCGTCGTAGTAGTACTACTATTACTACTACTGCTCCTCCTCCTACTACTACTACTAC